GCGTGGTGGGGAAACAGTTATCAAATGGGAAGTGAACCGATACTGTTCATATTGGTCCTCTAACAAGTCGTAGGTAAGCGGTAGTGGGCATGTGGTGCGCGCATTAGCGTGCGTAGCCCAACTGGTACTTCTATAAAGGAGAAGGAGATGTCATTGATAACGACATCTGAGAATGGTGTCATCATAGCTCGAAATATTTGTGAGTACCGCCCAAGGATTGGTTATCTAACATTTAAATCTTTATGGAGTACTTATTTTTAAGAAAGAAAGCAAACAGTCGAGACTTTCAATTAGAGAAGTAAGCGCCGACTTACAATCAATACCGCTTGCGCTGCTCTGTCAGTCCTGCGTCGAACTTTGTGTACAGAAAAATGTCATTTGTTTAAAAAAAAGGGGTGGAGAGTTAGCCGATTACTACAACTTTGCCGAAAAAGGAGGAAACCTGGCGTTAGTTGGGCGAACCGACTGAATTCTGAAATAAAGGGCAACAAATCGAGACTTCGAGACGATCGAGGTAGACATAGCCATCGGTTATTGTTATACGTTTAAAAAGTTGATGCGCCAGTGGGAGGTACGGCGTAAGCCAGTTGAGTAAGCACACATCCAAAGATTTGGCAGACTAGTCAGGTTGCTCAGTTATAAGCCCAAGCGGTAATGGTATGTGCCGCATTCCGAGTATGTGGTGCGAGCGTAATTGGAGGATTCCTCTCGTGTTTGGGTCAGAAGTGAATTGCTCTTTTAAAGAACGATCTAAAAGGTTGTTACCATTGCTAAGGTCAAGAATAAATAGTCAGTTTTTATAATCATAGTTATTAGTTGCCAAATAACAGTTCCTTCACCCTGTCAAGCGAAGCACTTTACCTTCAGTCTCAAATCTGTAATTTCCGCATAATTTTGGACATTTCAAAAATTTTGGAATAACGATTATTCAATTCGTTTTGAGAAGAGGGATAGCGGATCACTCAAGCATTTCAGCTTCAGGACAGGCATAGCAGAAACCAGGGGAACTCGGTTCAGCCGAACTACGCTATACTTACCAGAGAATTAGAAACATTTCGGGAACAGAACAATCTCAATGGAAGTGATATTTCAAATGTTTTCCAGGGCGAATGCATTCAGAAGGGTGATGAGATAATCTGCAGTTGTGAGGGTCAATGTGAGGAT